GGGGGGGGGGGGCGGAGGGGAAGGGGGGTTTCGCCCCTGGCCGTGCCGGGGGCTGCGGGCCCCGCACCCCTCCGCCGATTGGCTGCAAACTGACAACGGGGCAGGTCCCGCCCTCCCCCGCCTGTCATTGGTCGGTAGCGCAGCGTCGCCGTTTCCCATTGGTTAAAGCCAATGGCTGTCACTGCCCGGCCCGGCTCGGCCCTGCCCGCCCGGCCGCCGCCCTGCGCGAGCCGGTGTGTGTGTGTGGCCCCCCCCCCCCATCCTCCGCCGCCTCCTGAGGGAGCCGGGGCCCGGGCCGGTGGTGTCCGGGCAGCCCTTCTCGCTGATGCCGGCCGTGCCTGCCCGGGAGCCGCGGCCTGAGGGAGAAAAGCCCCGTTTTCAAAGGTATTTTCAGTCAAGCGTGAGGGAACGGAGCCCTGTCCGGCCTGGGGCTGCCCTCCCGCCGGTGGGCCCGGCCTTCGCCCCCCGGGCTGTGTGCCCTGAGCTGCTCGCTGCCCTCCCGGCTGCTGGCGGTGCCTGGGCTGTGGGTGCCCCCCATTGCCGGGCCCGTTGGAAGGGAACGTGTTTTGTTATGGCACCATCGCCTCTTGCTTCTCCTCGTCGCAGAGACAGACCTCGGCCTGTGACCACGGCGGGTTGTGGGAAGCCCGGGTCGGGGCGGCTGGCGGGGAGGGGAGGCGGCCGGGGGCCCAACGGTGTGCTTCTGGGGTAAAGGTCAGAGAGAGACGGCAGAATTTGGATGGGTTAAGCAAAAACTGCCCAGCCTGTGGAGCCCATCCAGCTCCTCAGCTATTCCTGGCTCGCTCTCCAGTCTGCAGGCCCACGAGGTGACTCACCCCCTGGCCTTGCCTTCCCTTCCCCGGGCTGTGGCAATCCCTCCCTCGGGTGATGCCTGGCGGAGAGGACGCCTGTTCTCCTCGCTCTCCGCTGAAACGCGGTGGGCTGTGCTCCCTGCTCCCTGTCTGTCCCCGTGTCGCCCCGGGGAGGAGGGCAGCCGGGACGGCTGTGATGATGGCAAATTCCTTTTGACTTCATTCCTTCCTCAGAGCGATTCCCAAACGCAAAGGGACGTAGCCCTGTGTGTGCGCAGAAACATGCGGCAGAGTAAGTTTGGTGACTTGCCTGGCTGTCACCGGGGAGCACGGCTGCTCCCTTTACAGTCACTGCGCCTCCTTTGTCCCAGAAGGTGTTTATTTTTTTCTGTCATTCATCTGTCATTCATCCCCAGGCAGCGACAGGAATCTGTCACTCATCTGTCATTCTGTCATTCATCCCCAGGCAGCGACAGGAAGCTGGACATACGATTTGCCTCCATTCTCATGAAATACTCGCTAGATACTTGGTAGATCAGATGCCTGGTGTGCATGTCTATTGAATATTTTTCAGTAATTCTGTGAGGATTTTTCTCTGTTTTCTTTTATTGCCTTCCTCTCAGCTTAGCAAATCCTGTTGTATGTCGAATAAACATGACCAAACTCGAACAGTCCCTGCCTCATACTCCCAGTATGATGAGTTTGACCCGAATTGCAGCAGACATGCTATAAAAGATGAACATATCCAACACATGAGGAAATACAGTACTAGAGTTAGGCTTCCAGTTAAATGACTTCCCATTAATGCATCTCTCCCTCCTTCCTAATGAGGAGAGCTGTCCTCACCCACAGCCCAGCTCCATTGCTCTCAACGAGTTTATGCTGGGAGTATTCGATGACTCAGGGCTGCTCTGTTTCCTCTGAAATGATCTTGACTTGGTCATGAGTACAGAGAAGAGGCAGAGGGCACTTTTGGGGGCATTTATTACCCCGAGAGGTGGTTAAACGTGAAATCTCAAAATAAGAGTTCTTTGGATATTTAAGCAAATTTTGTTTTTTGGGGCGGGTGA